AAGTCCTCGTCATAAATAATAAGAAAACTCTTTCATTAAAACGTTAATACGCTAGTGACATTAAGCCGCTTAGCAAAAAATTATCTACAGAACAAAAAATTGTATTTATATCCGTTGCCCGCATCTTCCCCCTTCCCCCGTAACGAAAAAATGTCTCGGTCCCGAGATTTCCTTGGTGTCACAGTATTCATCCCTGCCGACTCCTTCACCCTTTTCACTTGGGCGACTATGGACAGACTATGGACACCAATCAGCGTGTAGGCAGCCATGGACTGAATCAATCAAAACGCACCATTCAATTACTTCATTCCATATCCTCGCGTCATTGACCAATCAGAGCATGCCATTTTCCAAACAGGTCACATCTCCGGCGCCGGAGATGGAGTAGTGGGAGTTTGTTTTGATGGCCCATATACTATTGACGCTTCTTTGATTAACACACAAATCTTACCATAGATTTTTCTCAAAAATGAAATTATAATAGTTTAAAAAATTACGGTCTTAATGGTCACAAAAAAGTAATAACTCAACGGCCATTCTGGAGAGATATTTGCATAAATTTGAGATATACATAAATTTGTATGTCTGGAGATACGGTAGTGTCTCGGCGCTAAGCCAAGTATAGCGATTGCTGTGGCGAGCCGGTAAATTGCGGGGGATCGAGATTGTTATATCTCAATATGGACAGAACCGACACATTCTATGTACGCTTAATAGCATACACTCCGATTGTATAGTAATGCTTTTATTTTTCTTTACGTGCCCTATGAGCGGAGATATTGCGACGTAAAATATGAATCTAAAATTTTTAGGCCCGATTGCACCAACGTTATTTTAATTTTAAGCGAGATTTAAAATTCTTTCTGTTTGTCTCTTTTTAATTTTAAAACGAGACAGATAGAGATTTTAGTCTTGTTTAAAATCAAAGTGATATTGATGCAACCGGGTAAGATAAGAAACATCTTAATATAAGAAACGTCGTTATCATCGCCGCTACGGAGTGAAGGAAATATCCTTTTGGAATTTTTGGCGCAAGAGACAAATATGACGCTAGCAATGGTTATATCACACATGGTCAGCGAGCGTTGCGAGCGCTGCAACAGTTCTGCACAGTCTGCAGAGATTATAAGTGAAGTTTATGGTCACGCGATCGTGGAGGAGTTGAATAAGTGTAATTGTGACTAAAGTATATAATATCCCAGTTGTATATAATATCCCAGTTGTATATAATATCCCAGTTGTATATAATATCCCAGATACTTCAAATATTGACTTCAAATATTACTTCAAATACTTTTAGTCAAGTGTTTTCGCATAATTAAAAATAATATTTGATCAGCGAGCATTGTGATCTGTACGATAATGTCTCGGTCGGTTTAAACAAGGATCAGTAAAGTCAGTATAAGTGTCTCGGTAATAATAAAGGTAATTGTGATGAGCCTCTTCATCTTCAATGTTGATAAAATTAGGCTTATTCGACGTGTTTTTGCATGAAAAGAATGAATCTGATAAAAGAAGTGTCGCTCCGCATGGAAGAAGTATTAATGGTTAAAATTTACGTTCCGTAGACTCAATAGTTGAGTGAGTGCTCGCTGTTATTCTTTTATTATTTAATCAGCATTTTAGATCTGAAAGAACAGCTAACTATTGAGTCCGCTGAACACAGCTATGACTATTCGGGCTAGGAAATCCGTTACATCGATGACATAGAGAAACACGTGAGGCTAGAATAAGTATTTTTTGCTTCAATTACACAAATTCTCTGCTGTAAAACACATTTTCTGCTTCAAGAATACAAATTATTTTCTATATAATTTTTATTTTTACAATAGAGAATTTGTTTTGATTAAATATTTATTTACTTTAAAAACACAAATTATCTTCTTTAAAATTCTTTATTTTAAAAACAAATTTTCTACTGTAAAAACAAAAATTATATAAATAACAAGACATTGAATCCAACAGTGTCTGCCAAAGATACTTTAAACTACTTTCCACTACTAATTTCCATATTTTTGTATACAAATATTCTTTCTTATTCAAATTATATAAATTGATTTAGTTCGATAAATGAGATAATGAAGAAATAGCTCATTTTTATACTGAGATTTGGATGAATATTGTCATCAGTAATCGAGCAATTAAGTAATGAGATTGCTATATGGATTTGTTAATAGCAATTACATTGAATTACTAAATGTATAAGTTATATTGAATTGATACAATGTGATTTGATATGATCAATTAAATTATGAGACTATCAATTACGATCAAAGTTAGTCAATATATATTTTAAATACAATTATCTCAGAACTATGATTGCGCGTCAATTTTACTTTCGGATTTGTAATTCAATTAATCTGGGATGCTAATAATTCCCCGAAATTAAATTAAGACCTGTAAAAAATTTATGAAAAATATTACTAGGTTAAGAATCGAATTCGGATTTCACATATCCATAACATCCTCAGAGATTATTTCATTCTCACAGATATCATAATGGATCTTTGGATTTTTGTTGTTTATTGTCTTAAATTACAGCAACGAAAAGAAAAAAGAAAAAAATGATTATTAGATATTTTCTGCTTAATCCGTAAATAATTGATCGCACTAATATTGATGATTAGACGTTTTGTACTGTGGACTTGTGCATCGAAATCTTTTGAGATTAACATTTATTATATTTACATCGCTAGTGCGACGAAGAACAGAAGAAAAATCTATATATTATTTTATTTATAAGACTTTAAAATATCATTTATATTACAATATAATATTTGCGTTCAGCAAAAAATGCAATATTTAAGTTATTTATTATTAAAGATACTTGTACTACAAATAAAAATTTGAGTGTTAAAAGATTTATATAAGTTTCTTTTATTATCTTAATGGACATACTTATTTTTCAAAAAATTTTTAATTTTACATATATCAGAAAAATTTTGATCTTTCAAAATTTATACGGATTTCTGTTATAATTTTTAAATAAACATCATAGTAGACATTATTTCTATTGTTTATTATCTTCTTCATCTCATCTTAAATTATAGGCAATGAAAAGGAGAAAAAAGATGGCTGATTAGGTATTTTCTACTTAATCTAACTAATTGATTGCACTGATACTGATGATGAGACGTTTTGTGCTGTGGACTTGTGCATAGACAATCTTTTGGACTCTACAATTATTTACGTCGCTAGCGAAGAACAGAAGAAGAACAGAAAAAAGATCTGTATATTAATTAGACTTCAGAATCAGTTATATTATAGTGATTGTGTTCAGCAGAAAAAAGGAAGAGCTGTGCAACTGATGTAAAATTCTTCATTATCATTGGGTTACATTCAAATCCAAGAAAATCTAAAAGCAAAAGCCAATCATATCAAGAATCTTACAATGGTTGCAAAGTTATCTTTTCTGCTAAACGTGTTATTGTTAAATTATTTCGCTGACTTTTGGTAAATATTCGAGGGAAATAGTGTTGTAAAATTAATAGGAAGTATGATATTAATTAGCGTTATTATTATTAAGTAGTGCTAGAATTTTTTAATAAAAAATATAAAATTAATATGTTAAAAATTTTTAATTTAAAGAATTAATATATTAAAAATTTTAATTTAAAGAATTGCATCATGAAGAAAAATTGAAATGGCAAACTAAAAACGCAATATTTATTTATTATTAAAGATATTACAATACAAATACAAGTAAAAATTTGAATTAAAAGGTTCATACAAATTTCTTTTATTATTTTATTGGATATACTCCTTTTTCAAAAGATTTTCAATTTTACATATAAAAAAAAAAAATTTTTTTTTGATATTTCAAAATTCATATAAAATTCTGTTATTATCAAAAATATATAATAAGCAATATATATTTACAACTATTCTAGATTGAGACTATTTGTATTCCTATTTTGAAAATCTTTTATTCCAACCTCGTAAAGAAAAGTAATAGTAACTTTAACTTTACTTTAAAGATAATTTCATTGAAGATATTCCTATTCTGATTCAAGTAAAAATTATTTTAATTCTCTTTAAAAGTTATTAAATAAATTCAAAATTATAAAAAAATAATATTTTTCTGTTTTTTTTATTTTTCTTCAAAAAAAAAATTATATATACAGGATGTCTATTAAGATGGATCCGAGCTACATTGGGAGGTGGAGAAGGGAACAAAAAATTCTTATACTATTTTGAGATACTCGCTATAGTTTTCGAATTAGAAAATGAAATATCTAAGCCAATATGCGAATATGCCGCGCCGCGCGAATTCGTAGGACGACTCACTCGAGCGGCGACGGCGGCGGGAGATTGAAGTAGCGCTTCGTTGCCTAGCACAGCCTGGCGGTTCTATGTGTTTCGCTGCATCGCGCCTACACTATCCAAAAATGTTATTTTAGCTGAAGTTTTTCTTATACATTTCTTATCATTAAAAAATCATGTTATTTAGCACGATTAAATACGTTTTAACACAATTATAGATATGTAATTAATTAGAACATTACGCAAAGCATAATATACTGATCATCGCGATACCTTTCCGCTTGGTGATACTCCAGATACATTTTACACGATAATTTGGTTTACTTGGTTAATGATGAATATTTAAGTTTAAAATTTGACAATTACATTCATTAAAATGTTGTTGAATCAATTTTGGACTCAAAATTACGAAATATTTATTACTTAAGACACTATTAATAAAAATATGGCAACATTGAATAATGGCGAATCGAAGAGAACATGATGTAGCCTTCCATAAAAATAGTTAAAAAGTTAGTTTTGTTAATATAGTATAGTTATAAAATAGTTCGGTTATAAAATTAACAAAAAAATACAGTTTATTGCAGAATATATGCATGTATACAAATTTATATGCATATAACTTATAACCTTAAGTAGGTATAGGCGGGTTCTAACCCTAGGGAGCGCGGGGCGCGGGGGGGTACTCGTAGGCGTGGGGAGGGGGAAGGCACGGGAAGGCCCCAGCACTATTATAGTTTATGTAAACATAGGAGTGATTTACATAAACATAACGTTCCACATTGACATTCTTTTTCGACCGCCGCCGCCGCCACCGCCACGGACCTCGCGTCCACTCTAAATGTATTGCCGTCTTCTCTTATCTTCCTTTTTTTTCTTTTCGCATCCAAAATCATAAGTGTACTAATCCTAGCGTTATCGATATTTACATAAACATAGGACGATGGATTACATAAACATGATGACGTTTCGCTATGCCTTTCATATTTTTCACCGCCACCCTCCCAAAACGCATCGGTAACAAAGGCTTGCATACACTTACTTAAAGGCACGCATATACTTACCATCTCTCTTCCTCTTATGTTTCGTCATTCCCGCTGCGTTGTCGTTCACGTTGTTTCTTCTCGCACGCAAATATATTTTGTCAATATACGTTTTTTAGTTAATGACTTAAATAGAGAGAACGCTTAATTGTGACTGAAACAGTTGTGACCGTCTGTCGCAGTACCGTTGAGCGAGAAGATGCTGACGCGTATGATAATAAGAAAGCGTTATGATAATAAGAAAGGAATGAATAATCATACACAGATATATAATTTAAATATGCGTTTACTTTTATATATAACGTAACTTTACAATATATAGTTCTTATTATATAGTTCTTACAATATTTATAAGCAGAAACTTAATTTAATTTAATTTAATTTAATTAATTTCAAATCGAATTTTAAGCACCTCATTGCTTCCAATTAGCAAATAAAATGTACATTTTTTCACACTGTTTATAATATTATCTGAAGCATGAACTATTAACTCACCCCCCATATTTGATTTTTTATTATAAATTTTGCGCAAAAATTCTACAGCATCACATTTATCGATGATACAATTTTCACTTAAAAGTGTTAGAAAACATTTAATTTTTCGATATGCGTATACTGGCACAACTCAGAGTATACGTTCTCGACGCAATGTTTGAATTTGAACATAAAGAGCATGGTTGACGGCTTCATATACAGACATGTTTCGCGCAGTGTTAATTTGACCACATTCACATCACGCATGATTTTTATGATTTCTTTTTCATTTTTATGATTTCTATCACTAGATCTTGAACCGATAATGATGCGATTGATTGCACGTACCGCTCAATATCCGCACGTTTTTCAATGAAAGCTTGCCACATTGCACGAGACAAAATTATGTTATTAACAACTTGGTTGTCGCCAATTACAATTTCCACAAAAGACACAGGTCCGACAACGATTCCGACATCCAGGTATTTGTAAGCTGTAGGAGTCAGTGTAAATTTTCATCTCAATATACGAGATGTATGGGGTATTTATTGTAAAAAGATGCTCTGCAGAAAAAAAGTAACACACACGCACGCACGCACGCACGCACGCACGCACGCACGCACGCACACACACACACACACACACACACACACACACACACACACACACACACACACATAAAATAGATAAAAAAAGAAAACAGATAAACAAACTATAGAGAAAAGGTATAAAAAAATTTATAAAGTAAAAACTTACTGTTTGTAAAAACTCTTCATCTTAAATAGGAACGTAAAATCTCATGGAATCATACTTATTTGGAAAGCGTTGCACTAGTGGTCCGTCTGAATGACTGATGCAGTAATATTGCCCGAACTCTTTCTAAGTTTCGTCCCCTCCATTATATTTCTTCAGGAATGCATGAAATTATGAAATTGTTCAACCAACACAGACGATCAAAAATGCAAGCGCCGATATACGACGACATATTTTGTTAGTGTAATAAAAGATTTTTTAAGGAATGACGTATTAATACAACGTATTAATTGACGTATTAATACGACAAATTTCTTGATGACATCATGAATGTAATTTTGATACATTGCGGCGTTATGCAATTGTATAATGATATAAAATTTGAAGATCGAGATACATGCGTTGCCAAATAGTGCGCATAATGATATATGTCTCACCCGTTGTAGTCCTATACTCGCCATAATATTCGTGCTCTCTCTCTCCTACCCTCTCTCTCCTACCCATGGTACTAGTGATCCTACACTTATAGTATTCGCGCTCTCTCTTCTTCCCATTGTATTCTCTCTCACGTTATCTTTTCTTCTTGCTCACAATTTTATTAAATAAATACGGTTTTTGTTTTATGATTTTTTAATGATTTAGCAATGCTTTTAATTTAGCAACTTATTATAATAATAATATTTCTAGTAATATAATATAAATAGCTGAACATTCCTAATTATCAAACCATTATAACTATTATTGAGTTATCAATCACTTATTGTACTACGTCGTACTACTGAACAGCTATCATATTATTAATTCTAAATAACTATAGAGAAAAAAGATTCTTTTCAATTAGCGGTAAGGAGAAACAGGAATGTGCAGGTTTCAAAGTTACGTGACAAGCAGATGATGACATAGAAAAGGGCAAAAAAAATATTTTAGGATTGTGGAGGAAACTTAGAAAGAAATAGAGATTAGAATTATAATTTCTTATTATTCAATTCTTATTTTACTAATTTGATTAACTTGTTTGAGGAAAAATTGCGCGCCTTCTTATCATATACAGGGTGTCTCATAAGATGGGTACGAGTCATCACATTGGGGATGGAGAATGGATCAAAGGGAACAAAATATTCTTATACTATTTTGAGATACTCGCTAGTTTTCGAATTAGAAAAGGAAATGTCTAAGCCAATATGCGATTAAACCGCGCCACGCGAATTCGTTGGAGAGCCCACTCGAGCGGCGGCGGCGGCGGCGCGCAGGGAGAGAGAAATAGCGCTTCGTTGCCTAGCACAGCGGCTTGGCATGGCGATTCTATGTGTTTCGCCGCATCGCGCCTACATTATCCAAAAATGTTATTTTAGCTGAAGTTTTTCTTATACATTTCTTATCATTATAAATCGCGTTATTTAGCACGATTAAATACGTTTTAACACAATTATAGATATGTTAAGCGATGTAATTAATTAGAGCATTACGCAAAGCGTATGTTGATCGTCGCGATATCTTTCCGCTTGCTTTATTATACGATGTTTCTATTTAATTACGCTTCGAGATACATTTCGTCGCGTCGTTTTATGCTATATTTAGTCGGAGTTTTATTTTTTGACATGTTAATGCGTGTACATTGAAATTATAGTATAAGCGTAGATAGTCGCTACATTGTAAATTCAGATATATTACTTCATGTACAATGACGCATTTGACTGAGGTTTTTTTTCACATGTTTCTTACCGTTTAACAAGTTTAATTGTACATCATTAGAAACATTCTTAAATTTTATTAATCTTTAATGTTCACTGATGAATAACATTTAAATTTTCTGTCACTGAAAAGATTATTTATGTATACGTTAATGAGATGTTTAAGTTTGTAGTAACTGAAAATTTAAGTGTATTGAAAAACACTAATTGAAAATTGAGTATTTTAGTATATTTTCATTAAACTATCCATCAAATTTAATGTTCATGTCCATGTTCATTACATTAAAAAAATCTGTAACTTACAAGGAAAGGGACCCAACTGCTGCTCTCTGATTTTAATGAGCAGTATGTTATTCTCCAGACAAAAATAAGCGACACGTATTTTTTTATACGCACTTTTAACAATCGAAAACATTAGACATTCGGGAATTTTTTATAAAGAGGAATCTTCGAGATTATTAAATGTTTTTTTCTCATTCGTCACCAACTGCGTACTTGTGTCGACCTGTGTTCATTGACAACGCTTATAAAAATTTCGTATAATACGATAGAATATACAGATATGATTATCTGTTACGGCCGAATGAAAATGCTCAACTCGCGGCGCGTATTTACTAATCGCGGAACGATTTCCTAATCGCGAGCGGCATCCTTCGTCAAAGGCCATTAGGAGATATATCCTACGGGCGAAGGAAACTGGAAGTCTCTTGCGGGATATGCGAAACTATGGTCCATCGGTACGTCACAACGTCGGTCGCAAAGAAGAAGTCCTTCGGATGTTCGATGAAAATCCTGAGACTAGTGTGCGTCGTGCAGCTCGTGCATTCGGTTTACCGCGATGTATGGTGCATCGCATTTTACGGCGAAATAATTTACGGCCGTAATCGGCGTCTAATATTTGTCTTGTTCGACGGGAAAAATGTGCGGGAGCTCCATCATGCTGATAAAACAGCGTTTGGCGATTATGGAACGTCTTCGAGAAGCACCGGTAAATCATTTTCCAGAAATTCTCCGTATGCCTGTGCGCTGAGACGTGGCGGCAAAAAATGGGAACCGATCTAAAAATTGCCAATTATAAATATGTACATTCGAAAAAACTATGAAAGAAAAGATATTTTCTTTATAATTTACAAGAATATTTACCATTCAATCCTTTAACACTCCTGCCCATACGTTGATTGACCAACGATATTGAAAGGCGCCCTCGCGTGTGGATTTTCGAATTGCCAGGTCAAATGGTTTCTCGAATTAAACATACCATTTGGCATAAAGGTGGCCTCATCCGATCATAAAATATAATCGGGAAATGAAGCATTTCGCCGATATTGTGCAAGAAGCCTTGCGCATATTTTATTGATGTTTAATCTCTGCAAAAAAGCGTTGTGATTATCGAGAGTAAAAAAAATAAGTAAATACCTTCACAAAAATGAACGCGCAAAGCTTCATCTCGTTCCAGTAATTGCTGCACGCGTTGATACGGCCGTAAATTATTTCGCCGTAAAATGCGATGCACCATACATCGCGGTAAACCGAATGCACGAGCTGCACGACGCACACTAGTCTCAGGATTTTCATCGAACATCCGAAGGACTTCTTCTTTGCGACCGACGTTGTGACGTACCGATGGACCATAGTTTCGCATATCCCGCAAGAGACTTCCAGTTTCCTTCGCCCGTAGGATATATCTCCTAATGGCCTTTGACGAAGGATGCCGCTCGCGATTAGGAAATCGTTCCGCGATTAGTAAATACGCGCCGCGAGTTGAGCATTTTCATTCGGCCGTAACAGATAATCATATCTGTATATTCTATCGTATTATACGAAATTTTTATAAGCGTTGTCAATGAACACAGGTCGACACAAGTACGCAGTTGGTGACGAATGAGAAAAAAACATTTAATAATCTCGAAGATTCCTCTTTATAAAAAATTCCCGAATGTCTAATGTTTTCGATTGTTAAAAGTGCGTATAAAAAAATACGTGTCGCTTATTTTTGTCTGGAGAATAACATACTGCTCATTAAAATCAGAGAGCAGCAGTTGGGTCCCTTTCCTTGTAAGTTACAGATTTTTTTAATGTAATGAACATGGACATGAACATTAAATTTGATGGATAGTTTAATGAAAATATACTAAAATACTCAATTTTCAATTAGTGTTTTTCAATACACTTAAATTTTCAGTTACTACAAACTTAAACATCTCATTAACGTATACATAAATAATCTTTTCAGTGACAGAAAATTTAAATGTTATTCATCAGTGAACATTAAAGATTAATAAAATTTAAGAATGTTTCTAATGATGTACAATTAAACTTGTTAAACGGTAAGAAACATGTGAAAAAAAACCTCAGTCAAATGCGTCATTGTACATGAAGTAATATATCTGAATTTACAATGTAGCGACTATCTACGCTTATACTATAATTTCAATGTACACGCATTAACATGTCAAAAAATAAAACTCCGACTAAATATAGCATAAAACGACGCGACGAAATGTATCTCGAAGCGTAATTAAATAGAAACATCGTATAATAAAGCAAGCGGAAAGATATCGCGACGATCAACATACGCTTTGCGTAATGCTCTAATTAATTACATCGCTTAACATATCTATAATTGTGTTAAAACGTATTTAATCGTGCTAAATAACGCGATTTATAATGATAAGAAATGTATAAGAAAAACTTCAGCTAAAATAACATTTTTGGATAATGTAGGCGCGATGCGGCGAAACACATAGAATCGCCATGCCAAGCCGCTGTGCTAGGCAACGAAGCGCTATTTCTCTCTCCCTGCGCGCCGCCGCCGCCGCCGCTCGAGTGGGCTCTCCAACGAATTCGCGTGGCGCGGTTTAATCGCATATTGGCTTAGACATTTCCTTTTCTAATTCGAAAACTAGCGAGTATCTCAAAATAGTATAAGAATATTTTGTTCCCTTTGATCCATTCTCCATCCCCAATGTGATGACTCGTACCCATCTTATGAGACACCCTGTATATGATAAGAAGGCGCGCAATTTTTCCTCAAACAAGTTAATCAAATTAGTAAAATAAGAATTGAATAATAAGAAATTATAATTCTAATCTCTATTTCTTTCTAAGTTTCCTCCACAATCCTAAAATATTTTTTTTGCCCTTTTCTATGTCATCATCTGCTTGTCACGTAACTTTGAAACCTGCACATTCCTGTTTCTCCTTACCGCTAATTGAAAAGAATCTTTTTTCTCTATAGTTATTTAGAATTAATAATATGATAGCTGTTCAGTAGTACGACGTAGTACAATAAGTGATTGATAACTCAATAATAGTTATAATGGTTTGATAATTAGGAATGTTCAGCTATTTATATTATATTACTAGAAATATTATTATTATAATAAGTTGCTAAATTAAAAGCATTGCTAAATCATTAAAAAATCATAAAACAAAAACCGTATTTATTTAATAAAATTGTGAGCAAGAAGAAAAGATAACGTGAGAGAGAATACAATGGGAAGAAGAGAGAGCGCGAATACTATAAGTGTAGGATCACTAGTACCATGGGTAGGAGAGAGAGGGTAGGAGAGAGAGAGCACGAATATTATGGCGAGTATAGGACTACAACGGGTGAGACATATATCATTATGCGCACTATTTGGCAACGCATGTATCTCGATCTTCAAATTTTATATCATTATACAATTGCATAACGCCGCAATGTATCAAAATTACATTCATGATGTCATCAAGAAATTTGTCGTATTAATACGTCAATTAATACGTTGTATTAATACGTCATTCCTTAAAAAATCTTTTATTACACTAACAAAATATGTCGTCGTATATCGGCGCTTGCATTTTTGATCGTCTGTGTTGGTTGAACAATTTCATAATTTCATGCATTCCTGAAGAAATATAATGGAGGGGACGAAACTTAGAAAGAGTTCGGGCAATATTACTGCATCAGTCATTCAGACGGACCACTAGTGCAACGCTTTCCAAATAAGTATGATTCCATGAGATTTTACGTTCCTATTTAAGATGAAGAGTTTTTACAAACAGTAAGTTTTTACTTTATAAAT